AAACACTCGACAAGGAATTGCGCATAAACGGATTGTGAAGAGATTGAATATTAGTCCATTCTAGATGACCAATGATATTTCCACAGATAATAGAGATCTATTAAGTTTTGCATTTTGTTGCAATTCATTAGATCCAAAACCTAGTAACAAAGATAAGACTAAGCAAACGAAGAAGAAATACAAAGAGAATACAAACTGATTTTTGTATTGATTTCTTCCTGCCACGAAAACTAGAGGCATTCCGACCACCATGAAAATGTCCTCAACCAGAATTATTAGAAGTATACGAGCGTGGACCAGAGCTAGAGACATAAGTATCAATTGTGGCACCAAACAAAACAGCTTGAGATAGAGACATAGAAGGAGTTGGCAATAAACCAGAACAGATTGCTATGGAAAATGTACCTCATAGCTGAGTAACTAGAACAGAATTAGAAACAAGTGGTTGATTAATATACAAAGCTGAGTAACTCATAGTACATGCCTCGGCTGTTGGCTCAGCAGCCAAGAGTTATGCCCTAAAATCTTTCAGTGAAAGAGGAGTCTCACGAGCAAACAAAATTGTGTAAATCATGTCATATTCACTTGGCAAACCATTCAATGCAACTATGATCACATCATCATCAGAGATTTTTACACCAGCAACACATAATTGATCACAAATATATTTGAGGTGAAGAAGAAAACATTCAACATTATCACCTCTTTTCTAAGTAGTGTGAAACTTAATTTTTTGTGATTAATGCGAGCACAAGAAACCGAAGCATAGCGATCATAAAGGTTGATCCAAGCCTCTCGAGCAGTCTTACAGCAATGACATATTCAATTGCATCATCCGACAATCAGGCAATGAGCAAGCCCAATAGAGCTTTGTCAGTACGAATTTATTCTGTGTATACAATAGTGAGCTCAGAGGTAACACTCTCCTCATCAGCAATGACAAATTTTTGTGGCAGAATAGCAGATCCATCAAATTGCAAAAATCAAAGAAGAAAGAGGATGAGATTGTGTAGAAGAAGAAAAGATCGAATGAGTACAGTGGAAGAGAACGAATAGAAGAACAGAGCGATGGACTCAAACCATGACGGGCGCTGATACCATGGTAACAAAGATAGGACTAAGCACACTAAGAAGAAATACAAAGAGAATGTAAATTGATTTTTATATTGATTTCTTACTTAATGAATATTGATATAATAGAAGCTAAGCTTATATACTAAATAGAATAGCTAACAATTCTCACAAACACACGTGCTCTCCATGTGCTAAACTAACTGACTCAAATGACCTATATAACTATTTTGTACAATCATCAAAACCTTGGAGGCCAATGCTATACTTAATTTGTTAAAAAAAAAAAGTATTATATCACTCGTCTCCATACACACACACACATAGACTTCTACCACAATATGCATTATGTTATCATAATGACATAAGAAAAATTGATTACAAGACTCAATTTGTTTGTTTTGCAGTGAATTACTCGTTAACACAAGTGCTATAACTACGCTCGTGGGTCGCCTCTCTTTGATGATGTAAGGACTATGAATCCAATACGTATTTGACAACTCATCAATATATATTTAGAATGTTGGTAGTATAATGCTAACAATCGAGTTTTATCTTGTACTAGATAATCAATGTAATGATAGAATATTTATACGATAGAACCTCCACAAAGTGGTTCCTACCTACATATTTTTGGTAGGTAAGTAAATTGATAAGATTTTTTTTTGTTAAAGATGATGTTATAAAATGGGGGAATGCGCCAAGTCGGTACGTCGTGATGATCGTATAAAGTCATGTGCTAGTACATTAAAGCTTTGTCATTTGGCAAGATTTGATAGGAGATCGGTGATAATGTATATACCTGTTTAGGGGTGGTAGAAATCCACCTAGGCACAAGAGTTGGTCAAGCTAGAGCTGAAGGTGTAGCTGGGCAGGTTTGGAAAAATGCAGTCCGGGCCTTTCAAAATTGCGGCTGAGATTGGGAGCCCGAGTTGTGGCTGAATTTTGGGTGCCCAAGGAGATACGGTCAGACTTGGAGTTTGTTACGACCGGAAGTGCTCAAAGAGGTTGCGGCCAAGGCTTTTTCGCTGGGCACGACCCGAAAAAGCTGGGCATACGGGATGCGGCCGGACAGCTCGAATGAAGTTGGAAATAGCGGCCAGAATTGGAGAAGTTCGCAGGTGGGCGTGATGAATATGTGGCTGGGCTGTTGAGATGATGCGGTAGGAGATGCTGGAGAAATTGGGAATCTCGGCCGGGTCTCCAAGGAACCTCGTGGCGGCCGAGAATGTTGGAGCTGTTGGAAATATCGGTCGGGCCCTATGTCAAAGTAAGGCTGGATTGCAGCCGAAGCATGGGAAGCCAAGATGCGACCGCAATGAAAATTAAGATATGGCAGGTTGGGCCTTAGGGTTTCTTGTGCGACTGGAGCTATGGGAGTTTTTGGGCACACAAAGATGACTGGGCTCTGCGAATTGTAACTTCCTTGCCTTATAATATATATATATATATTGTATATAAATATGCAGCTGGAAGTCCTTTGTGATGGTTTGCGAAATGGTGGAGGTCTTTGGTCAAAAATTTGGTTGGTGCATATATATAATATAATATATATATATATGTATATATATTACACATATGGGCCCTTTGATTATTGAAGTCAACAAGAATGAATTCTGGCATGCATGTTTCTATGCATAGTGGCTGGGCCAGCAGTTTGGATTGTTGATTCGTATAATATTTATATATATATATATACATAAATGAAAATGAAAATTGAATCAAGTTCCTCAACAGACTAATTTTAGAGTTTCAGAAATTTAAAGATTATGAAGGGCACCCTCATATTATGCCAAGAGATTAAAGGTTTTAGTTCAAGCCATCAATTTCAAAGCCAAGATTTTCGGAGGATTGCGTGCATGTAATGGAGGGCCTCACAAGGAAAGAAATCAAGGGATTTTTTATAGTAGCTCCGAGTGTTCCAAAACAAGGAAGAATCAAGCATGTCAGAATATCAATGCAATCCTACGGATCTTGGGGGGGCCTTGGAAGGAAAGAAGTTTTAAAAAGATTTGACCATTGGCCATTCAATGGCCAGCCCATGGGCTGACGAGTGCCCTAACCTTGCTCCATGAAGACATCAGACACACAACATCAGACAAACAAACCTATCTTTCGTCTCGCACTTTTCTTTTCCTAGACTTAGGATTTTATTTTTCAAGCACCTAGTGTAGTGAGTTCTTCGTTTTGCTAGTGTAAGTTTATATTTTCCTTGTCATTTAAATTCTTGTTTCGATTTATATTTCTTATCATTTCAATTCAAGTTTATTTCGATTCCTTTACATTTAATTGTTATCGCACTTCGATTAAATTTAATTTCAAGTTTATTTCCTTTTCGTTCTAATCGTTCTTATCGCTTTTATTTCATTCTTGCTTTGTCTATCGCTTTGATTTATTTTATCGCATTTCAATTCTTGTCTTTACGTTTATATGCATATTTGGTTTAATTGCATTATTTTTACTTAAACCATAAAAATCACAAAAACATCCGTACGAAACCTAACCATTCTCGAGCCGGAGAAAGTGAAAGAATCTAGGCCAATAAGAGGTTTCTTGCTTAACTGATCAATCGTTTGGTCAGAAGTTAGAAGCGCAACACATCCATCTATTCTCATTCCATTCAAGCCCAATTTCGAGGCTTGGTGGTGGCACGCCCCGCATCCAAAAGAAGAAGGACCAAACTCCTTCCGTCGGCCGCCCCGGCCGAAAAGAGGGAAACAATACCACTTTTATGCAGATATATATTCCAATGCACGACATGGTATTTAGTCATTAGTATCTTTTTGTTTGTGATATTTTACATAAGAAAGCATAAATTTGGGATAGTTTACCGAATCCGCATCATAGTAAGAAACGCATGAAAGATTGCTTACTTAATTTAACTGGAGAAGCTTTTGTTCAATGAGCTTATAAGTTTTTCTTTTGTTTAATTTGGTTATGTTGACTATGTTGTTTATGTAACAATTGTTGTATCTAGACTCCATTTTCTATGATGACATCTTGTTGTTATTTGAGGTGGGATGGACATTCTAGTCATTTTCTCTTGTAGCCCAATTAGATTCCAATCCCGTCCAACCTAATCACTACAACAAAAAACACAATTGGCGACAAACACCTTTGGTTGCCAAAGGTTCTATTTTGGTCGCCATGGGCAATACATAACCAAACTACTTTGTCGTCCCGGGTTGTCGATGAAAGTGCATGGTAGAATATGTTTACCCACGAATTGACATTTGGTCACGCATGTTGTCTTATGACAATTCATTTTGTCGCCTGTTTTGTAATTAGTTGTCGCTAATACGTCGTATGAGTAGCCCCATATTTGGCGACGAGAAAATACAAATCGTCGTTGATTATCAATTCCAACCATTGTCCATCGTCGCCAATCGAAAACTCATTTGTTGCTAATAACATGTCAGTAATAGACAACTTTGCGACCATACTGGTCGTCACTCTTATACGAAATTTGGTAGTTTTTAGTTTCATTTTTAAATAGTTATTTTTTTGGTGAAAAATACATCTTACGTAAATTTTGTCTGTATTTTTAAAAATTATTTTACTGTTTCATATGTGTATGTATTGAAAACAGATGTCATACAACAGCATTAAAAATAAAGATTTTATGGGCATTTGGGAACAAGAAATAAATATTGTGTATAAAAAAAAACCAAATATTAATGTAATATTACATTAAATATATACATAAGTTTTCTCATATTTAAATATATAATTGAAATTATCATCATATTTCCAAATACAAACTCAAATTAGAGCCTGTATACACATGTTAATTAACTTACATACAACATTAATGCAACATTGGAAGAAATTCACTTGCTGGTTGGAAAAGAACACCTTCACTTGCATGCCCGTTTGTATTTTTTCAGTATGTTATGTGATAGTAGTATTGTATGGATATGATACTGGTCTTGAAGGTGATATCCCTAAAGTTAGAATTGAGGAATGGTAACTCAATTGTTCGAGTTGATGACAATTCTTGTACGTATACTAGCTAGCAGTACTACTAGCCACTCTCCAACAACCATGCCCTTGATAGGTGTAGGCTTACTTGATCACAAGATATCTAAATCCCCCACACTTTCTTCATGTACCAAGAAACTAGGCTTTTATCACATCTTCAATCAACATATCAACAACAAATTAATTTATCAAAATCACTAATTGATAATATATGGTCAGAAAATAAAATAATGAACCAACATCACGTGCTTTGCAAACTTTATCAATTTCATAAGCATATTAGTTGATCTTTGGAGAAGTCATTATGAGCTCAAGAACACCAACACAGGACCATCTAGAGGGTTCAAACACGGGCAAAGCTGAGGATCCTTGAACATTATATGCTGAGCATGACCAAGATGTGGATACTCTTTGATGGAGTAGTACTGAACATTTGGGGTCCATTCTGGCAATTTTTGCTAGAAAGAACGGCCAGGGAGCCCAAGCAATTCATCACTCTCTTCATCCACATAAAACATATACATCTGAGAAGTCATCCTATATTGATGAAGTCCATTAGTATGAGCATCAAGAACAAAGAGTTGCCCTGAAGTTGAGCACATACTGACCCCCATTCTTTATTGGTGCCCAAACCTGAGCAAGAACATGTTGGTCAGTCGATTCCTTGAGCTGTCTCAGAACTTGAATGATCTTCTCTTCAATTAAGCAATAAGCATAAGGATTTCAAACAGGTTCTAGTCACAAAAAGGAGGATATTTAAGCATCAGATTTTCAACAGGTTCCAGTCCTAAAAAATGGGATGTAAGCATTCTTCTGTCCTCATTCTCTCTTGGTATTTCCCTTCTTGGATCAAGAATACCTGTATTTATGTGATATTATATGAGAGAAAACTCAAATGAGTGAACCTCCTGACTGCTACTCAACAACTACAAAATGCTAACTGAAGCAATATGTTAAGCCAACGAAATGTGTTTTCAATTCCTAGGAATTTCAGGCCAAAAAGATCAAAGTTCCCTTAATTAACATATCAACAACTAATTAATTTATCAAAATCACTAATTGATATTCCGTACAAGCAAGAATACTAAAATCAATTTCAAATCCCTATTTGATAATTCAACAAAAACGAAAATCAATTGCAACTCATAAACCGATAAGCCCCAATTTCAAATCCCTAATTGATAAACCTCAATTGCAAATACCTAATTGATACTTCAAAAACCCTAAATAACCTCTAAAATTTCAACATAAAAAAATTGAGAGAAGAGAAGAATAAAAAGCAAGAGAGAGGGAATGTCAGTGGGTATTACTTTAGTTCAAAAAAAATAAATATGTGTCACCTACAATCTTATTTTGCTTGACACCTATGAAGAGTGAAAAGCAAATGAGAAAAAACATGTGCCACGTGATGCAATACATGATGCAAATTTAGCCATGTAAAGAAGAAACAAATTGAGTTATATATATATAAAGAATGCTTGACTATTATTTCTTGGCAGCAATATTAATGTGCAAAAACCAACTGAAATGGAAGAGTGAGGAAGTGCAAAGCTACATGAAGAATGCTTGGAAGTAAGGAAAAAAAAAATCAAGGATTATAAATAAATAAAAAGGCAGCAAAAATAGAGGACATGTGTTCATCCTTTTCATAAATTGTGATAGTTAATTAGCATTCCTCTAGTATATATTATTGAAGGGAAAGTAAGAATAAAAACAAAGGATTGAAACTCTCTCTCTCTCTCTCTCATCACAATATTATAAGAGGATTATTTTCCTTACTCTTTCATTTCGGTTGGCCGATATGTTATACCTGTTAACAGAGCTTAAGAAAATAGAATAAAGGAGAATTTGATAAAAGATTGTACTGTATTATTATCAGCTTTTTCAGATTATTCATTTTTGTACATCGTTCCAGTATATAAGAGAGAGCTTATATCTCTTTCTATGGCCTAGATTATGACACTTGTCACCATCTACACATTAAACCCTTTATACTCTAACATTCCCCCTTAAGATCATGGTTGGTGAAACCAAGCATGATATTGCAACAAGGTGAGGTGATCACAGAACGAAGAAAGAACGACTATGTCATTGATCCTAAAATGATCATGGAGTTTGAACAAACCAACGTCAACAAGCAGACTTCATAGGAATGCTAAATACTGCAACCAATAGACAAAACTCATGCTGTATGAGAGGTATGACAACATCTGCAAGAGCTATTATATCATCTGAACCTTCATAGCAAGCATGTCCAGAATATTCAATCATTATTACTTCAACAAGATAGTGAAACTCCTTGAATGAGAGCATATTCTTGACATCGCATAACACACCTAAAGTGTTGTATTCTGAAGGTAAACCATTGAGAGGCACATCATCAAACTTCAGCAACTAATTAACAGGTAATATCATAGGCATAATACATGCTCCATCAACTCTTCCAGTCCACGAATTTCATAACCTTATTGACCACAAATGATTTCCTGTGTGCCTATGAGATTTACCAATTGATTCACCATATGAACCATCAAGTATCCCAAATTTTCCAAATAATTGCATCCTCAATAAGAAATTAGACCCCACATATAGAAAGAGATAGAATAAGAGAAGAGGAAAATTCTTTGTTCCCTAAAAATTTAAAGGAATGAGATAGAAAGAAAGAAGAATGAGAAATTCATTTGTTCCTTAATCAGAGAGATTGTAGAAAGGGTATAGAAAAAAGGAAGAAATAAGAAATTCTTTTGTACCTTAGAGATTGTAGAAGATAGGAAAGAGGAAGAATTGAGAAATTCTTTCGTTGCTTTAGATATTGGAGAAAAGAGATAGAAGAGAATGAGAAATGAGAAATTCTTTGTCCCCTGAGATAAGAAGAGTGAGAATAGAATTGTGACAAAACCATATAAGTATTGATTGATTGAAAATTTTCTTGTTCTCCAAAGAAGTGGGATTTAAGAGTCAAGAATAGGGGTATATTGAGATTTTGGATGCACTAGAAAATTGACAAATCAAATAACAAATGAACCATCAATATTTGATCCATGGTGATGTATTTAAGAACGGGAATGTGATTTTATAGTAAGGAATTTAATATTTGATTTGGAGGCGGCTACAATAACTATCGAAGGTGGATAGAAAGCTTGAATTGTTGGAACATAGTATTTATCTAATTATTGAAATCAGAGAGATAGAGGATGAACAGCAGACATACCAAAAGAACATCAATACGATCCAAATAGCAAGAATGCAACTAACAATTTGAAATCCATCACATATCATAGTTAAGGAAATAGAACCTCTATAGGCAGACATGGAATTGAAGTCAGGGAATCAAATCAATCTGAGAAGCTACAATTTGAGTAGTAATCTTACAGAAAACAAAAACAAATCCCATTCGAAAAGCCCTAATTTGGAAAAGCCCTAATGTGAGCAACAATCCACTAAGAACATTGAATGCCACTAGAACAACAACAAATCCCAGTTGATGGGTCTGTGAATTCGCAAATCAATGGAGAATTACATGAAGCATATATGAATTTGTAAATCCCCAATTTGAAGGCTTGAAATCAACAATCTTATATAAAAGCCCCAAAAATTGACTAGCAATTGATCAAGAACACTAGAAATTCCCAAAACAGAGACAAAACCCTATTGAGACGTACTCAAATCAAATATGAGACTGAAAATCCCCAATAGCAAGCTGAATAGAAACTCAAACCTTGATTTAGTTTGACAAAATTGAGAATCCAATAATGACATGGAAGAAGCAGATATTGACGTTGATTTCCATGGAGGTCCAGAAAAGAATGTCAAGGCATAGAAAATGGAAGCAGAAGAACTCAGGATCGATCCATGGTTCTTCATACCATGTTAACAGAGCTTAAGAAAATAAAATAAAGGAGAATTTGATAAAAGATTGTATTGTATTATAATTAGCTTTTTCAGATTATTCATTTTTGTACATCGTTTCAATATATAAGAGAGAGCTTATATTTCTTTTTATGGCCTAAATTATGACACTTGTCAATACCTCTTGCATAAAACACAACCCACACGGCTCTCTTCAACCAACACAACATATGCACATGCTTACAATAATTAAGTATTAACATTTTAACACCCTATTAATTTAATGCTTAATTGTTGATCATCAATATTCTTCTTGATATTCATAGGTTGTGAAATTTGTTCTTTGGCTTTGCCTTTAACAAATTTTCTCAATTGTCATTTTCTTCATGTTCATATGCATACAGGTTCAAGATATGCTAACATTAGATGAACATGTTTTTTTTTTTTTTTTTTATGAGAAGTATGAACACATTTGTCCTCTATTTTTGTTGCTCTTGTTTTTTTAATCTTAGATATATATATATATTTTTTTTTTACTTTCAAGCATTCTTCAAGTGGCTTTGCACTTCCCCACAAAGCCATTATTTCTAGCCAACCGAAAAATAGAAGAGTGATAAAATAGTCATCTTCTCTAATATTGTAATGAGCAAGAGAGCTTCAATTCTTTGTTTTTGTTCTTACTTTCCCTTCAATAATATATATTAGAGGAATGCTAATTAACTATCACAATTCCAACATACAAGAGTGTATATATATAGATATATACCATATAATACATTAAAAGCCAAGTTATTTGGGCTTTCTATTTCTAACAGTTGGAGAAACTCACTGTAAAATTACATTCAATTTAAAATTCTTAGTTAATAAATTGAAACCAAAGATTAAAACAAGCACATTAAACATAGATCAACTTACACACTTTTTGAAAGGTTCAACTTCATCACAATTGTCGAGGATATACCAATAAGCTGATTCCATTTCCAACTTTGACCATTGAACCATTTTGTAGCCACCACACGGGCTTGCTTTATGCACGAAAACTGATAACTTTGCATTGGTTTCACCACCATTATTGTTTCGTTCATGATGAGAGGAAATAATTTCACCATTATGGAGATACATTGAACAAAAAGTTAATGATTCGTTTGAAATGTATCCCTCAACAATGGACTATTCAGGCCGAGCTCTATTATGTACATAACTTTTCAGCTTCCCTAGCATTTTGTACCACACATAATAATATATTATGTGGACAATACAAAAGAATTCAAGATCAAGTTAATAAAATATCACAAAAAATAAGCAATACCTCTCCATCCATCGATATCCTACTGAGCCTGCAAGTTTTGCCTCATGTGATAAATGGATAGCTAAATGAACCATAACATCGAAGAAAGTAGGTGGAAATATTTTCTCAAGTTTACATAATATGAACACAATATCAACCTCCAACCTATCCAAATCTTCAAATTTTAACGTCTTTGTACAAATCTGTTGGAAAGAGTTTGACAATTCCATAAGCGGTGCACACACCTCTTTTGGCAAGTACGGTCGAATCTCAACAAGTGGAAGTCGTTGAAGCAAAACATGACAATCATAACTCTTCAAACCCGATATTTTCCCACATTCTTTAACATTCTTTGATATGTTGGCTGCATACCCATCTGGAAATTTTACAGATTTCAAAAATTCACAAAATGATTGACGTTGATGTGGTGACAACGTGTAGATTGTTGGGTACTTTTTAACTAAGCTAGTTTCATTTCTATGTAAGTGCAAAGCCCTTCTTATATCATGTCTATCATATCCAAACGTGCATTGATCGTGTCTTTTGTCTTTCCTTCTATGTTCAATAGTGTCCCAACATTGTTATCACATATATTCTTCTCAATGTGACATCCAAATTATGTCTTATTTTCAATTTAGACCAATACTCCAATTCAAAGAAAATACTCTCTCTCTTTTTTCCAATTTAATTCCATAGGTATTCGTTTCCTCTTTCTATCATAATTATCAGGGTGCTTACCACACTTACAAGGTCTGAGATGATTCAATTGAAGTAATATCTCATCACCAGAGAATACCCTCAGTTGATCACGCATCTCATACTTTCCATCAAAGTCACAACTTTTAAGCCACGAATGATTCCTTCTCAAATAATGACGATGCCCCATGTAACAAATTTTATTTCTCAACTTGGTATATGATGTGTCCTCAAGACACACGGGACATGCCAAGTAACCTTTAGTGCTTCATCCAGACAAATTGCCATAAGCAGAAAAATCGTTAATTGTCCATATCACAGTTGCCCGCATCTTAAATCCAGAATCAGTAAACTTATCATAAGTTGGAACACCCTCCCACAACTCCTTAAGCTCATCAATTAATGGGCGCAAATACACATCAACATCCTTTCCTTGTGCTTTTGGACCCTGAATAAGCAATGTCATGATTGAGTATTGTTGTTTCATACACATCCAAGGTGGAAGATTATATGGAACAACCACCACCGGCCACATGCTATAACTTGTGTTCATACTTCCAAATGGGTTGAACTCGTCTGTTGCAAGGCCTAACCTTATATTTCTAGGTTCCTAAGCAAACTTAGGGTACTGACAGTCGAACTCCTTCCACGCAATACTATCAGCTAGATGCCTCATAACACCATACTCATCAACTCATTTATCAAAGTGCCACCTCATTTGACTAGTTGTATGTTTTGACATGAACATTCTTTGTAATCTTGGCTTCAGAGGAAAATAACGCAATACTTTTTGTGGAACCTTTTTTTTTCTTCATTAGTACTGATTTATATCTTGGCTCATCGCACTCAGGACATTTATCCTTCCCAATATGCTCTTTATAAAACAAAGCACAATCGTTCACACAAGCATCAATATTTTCTTGCCCTAGACCTAAATTTTTTAACATTTTATTCGTAGCATAATAAGTGATTAGAAAATTATGTGGCTTAGGACAAGCCCAATTTAGTATCTCTAACAATATATCAAATGATTTGTTAGTCCAATAATTTTCAAGTTTGGTCTGCATTAACCTTACTATGATGGTCAAAACTGAAAGCTCATTAGTACCGAGAAAAAGTTCTCATTTGGCCTCAACCATTAACTTCTCATACTTATTAGCCACAACCCTGTGCACATTAGTTTGATCATCTTCCCTCTCACCTACACCTTCATTGTACCTCCAAAAGTATCATATTCTCCATACAAATCTTGATTCATGTCTCGAGGAAATGCATCATTTAAGATATCATAAGTAACATCATTGGGTCCAAGTGCCTTTACACCATTTTGATGAGTTGCATCTTGTTTGGGTGACCCAAATTTTTCCCCGTGGTATATCCATGTGTGATAAACAGCAGACATTTCATACTCCCACAAATGTGCATGGACAATTTGAAGAGCATGCCATCTCGTATTTGGACATTTCTTGCAAGGACACCTTGTCTCATTTTTTTCATTCACATGTTGAATTGCTACTCCAATAAATGATGCAATACCATCCATATATTCCTTACTCAACCTATTTTTCACCTTAATCCATTGTCTATTCATGTGAACGTCCCGTAACATAATTTAGGTGACATTACATTCTTTCCAAACATTAAATGTCTTCTTATAACACATAAAGTTTTGTATATCTATGCTATTTTAAATAGTATGCATAGTTAGTTAATTATCGTATTATTCATGTATTACTTATGCTTTCTGTACACTTATAACATATATGGAAAAATTTGTGTTTGACATATGTTATCAAAGATATGCAAACATATCATTCACGTATTAGAGGCGTATTGACGTATTTTCCAAACAGGGGCCCAAGGTATTGTATATGCGTAAGTTCCAAGTTGGAACAATTACCGAAGCCTACAAATTTTTGGGCCAAGTAAATCTAGAAAGTTACTAGATACGTACCTCAGTGATTGTTGAACCCTTGACCACATAGGTAGGCTTCGCGGGCCAACCCAAAAGTTTTGGGTTGGGGGTAGGCCTCACGAGCTTTTTTTGAATTTTAGAGATGAGCCCGCCCAATGTTCAACTGTAAAGACTGAGAGATTTTATATCTTTATTTTATTATATGTAAAATGGAGATAATTTTTGTGTGGTACTAGATAGGTTTGTGTGTTATGAGTGGTCTTTTGGGTGAGGCAACCGAATTTTTTGTATATTATTGTAATTTTGGGCATCTTTAATTAGTGGTTTCTAAAAGCTGGTAATGAATGGAAAAGTGGTGACTTTAAATGAAACATTTAGATTATGAAATTTAGATACAGTGGCAATGCTTGTAATTTACGATATTTGTTAACTGCAGTTTAGGAATTTTTTATTCATGAATTGGTTATTGACAATGTATTGAATATGTAAATTTTGGTTTTATGTTCCATATTATTAAACTATATAATGATCTTAAAACAAAACTCTGTTATTTTAATAGGGTCATTCTTTTTCTTTCTTAAAACCTTTGAAATTACCTCAAGTTTTTTTTTTTTGGAAGTAAAAGAAGCAACACAGAATCGAGGAAAACAAACTCAATTTACGGGGATGCACAATTTTACATGCTTGGGATTGAATTTTTGTTTGGCCTCAGAGATAGAGGGAGGAGATGCCCAATGTTGGGTTGTGTGAATCGATGAGATTTGGGGTTGATCTAGAGAGAGAGAGAGAGAGAGAGAGAGAGAGAGAGATCATCATATTTGAATAGGTGGTAGTGTTGGCTGTTCGCTAGGTTGTAGGAAAGAGAGGGTGGATTGCAGTGGGTGGGTAAGAGAAGGGACCTTGAAAAGAGCTTTGAAATGCAACTTGCAGGGCATCTGTTCCCTAAATTCACCATGTTCAACAGTTTTATTGAGAAACAGGGCAGAATAATCATGATTTTTGTTATATTTTTTGCAAATCAAATGATTGAAATCTATAAAGGGCTAGACAATGTGATTATAAAAAATAAAGCTTCTTTCGGTTCGAATAAAAAATAAAACAATCATTTTAAGAATATAAAAAAACCACTAAAAGCACTTAAAATGGCAGTGTTTTGGTAGAGTCATTCCGTCTTTATGATGCATCTGCGACAAAATCACTTGGTCGCTCAATTCCGTGAAACATTTTTAAGCGGGAAAATTCTTTGGCGACGAAAGGTACTGTGATGAGCGACTAATTGTTTCATCGCTTGTCTAGTGTTTCCCGCCTTGAATTTCATCTCCCGCCCATTCACTTGGCGACCAAAATACTAAGTAGTCGTAGATTCCAACATTGAAAGGAATCATAGTTGGTCGCCAATACATAGTGTTTCGTCGCAAATCATCACTCTTTACCAAATTTGATATTCTTAAATGTTAAAGGGAAAATGAGCGACCAACTTTTAAAATGCGGTAGCAAAATCATCCTATCAGCGACCCAAAATATTTCGTTGTTGATACATTTTGTCGCCAATTATGTTTTTTCTAGTAGTGAATGGTGTGGACTATGTCATTTTTGACATAAGACATGCAATATTATCGTCAATTGTGGCATGACTGAATATGCATTCCACATATGCCATTTTTTGGGTAAAAATGTTTTATATGTAATTAAATGATGAATTTTTTTTTAATTGGTTGTAGTACAACTCTAATGTAGAGCAGATGCGACTTGCTATTGAGTTGATGAGACATGAAAAAAATCAATTGCATGATGTGATACTACGTGAAGCATCGAAAGTGATGGCAAATGCATCTCTTTTTACGGCAATGAGGAAGAAGATTGGTAACATTGAAGGTAAAAAAAAAGGATGTCTCGGATGTCACCGCTAGACAAAAGAGGGTTTATATTCGGAATATGGGAACTCTAAGACTGTTGATATTAGTTTTGAAATTTTCATTACTAGTTTTATAATTTCTAGAAAAGTCTGCTATGTTAATGTGTGTTTAAAAGTTGGATAGCAACTGGTAATTAGCATTTAATTCTTGTTCCAGGGAGTCTAGGGAGTTCTATATCTTGCTTAAATATGAGCTTTGACTTTTAAATACATAAAAAAATAGAGCTGCAACCTAAAAATAGCATTGTAATAAGCCTTTCTTATCAATTAAAGAAGGAATTTCGGCAATCTAAATCTCATACCAATCACACCTATTCCGTTGCTTTCAAACCCAACAGTGATATCAGAGCATTTACTTATCCTTCCATTTTCCTATCATGGCTTTAACCATCATCTAAAATCAAAATGCAGTCCTTGTGTTTGATGGTGATTATTATGACTACTGGAGCATTCAAATTAAGACTGTATTTCTCTCTCAAGAATTATGAGAGTTAGTGGAAGATGGCTTTGATGCACCAGAGTCTGCTACAGCTCTTGCTACATGGACAAATGCAAAACAAAAGGAGTGCATGAAGAATAGAAAGAAAGATGCAATGACCCAGAAATGCATTCATCAAGGAGTAAGCATATCTATATTTCTAAGAATCATGGGAACAAAATTTTCTAAAGAGGCTTGGGAAATTCTAAAGCAAGAGTTTGGAGGGTCAGAAAAGCAATTACAATCAAGGTTCAATCCTTATGGAGAGCTTCGTCGACTCATCCTTGATAGACAATGATAATATTCAACAATATCTCTCAAGAGCATAACATTAGAAAATACCATGTAATTGAAATTACGTCCAACAAAGTAATTTTAATTTTAATTTTTCTTTTAGGTTGGTTAAAAATAACCTTGTTAATTAAAAAGACCCAAATTTTGTTAAACAGTCCCACAACTAATAATCCCCTTCAAAATCATGTCATTGGAAAATAGACTTGTAAGAAAATAGCTATCATCTCTTCTTCCCAGATAGGCTTGAAAACCCACAACCTCAGAGCTTTCAAGTCTTCTTCCCACCAACATTTATATTTATAAATAGATCCAATCCATGCTCAACATAATCAACCATATCTCTTAAATTTATTGTTAAAATTTGATTAAGATGTTGCTAGTCACATAATTAATTAAATTGACAGAAAGTGGGATTTGATTAAAAGTTGGGTTTATAAGATCTTAATTTTCTCACATATCCATTAGATATATGCTTTTAATTTATAAAATCTCTATTATCATAAAGAGAATACTTCCCACCGTACTATGTAAGTAGGACAAAAAAAAAAACTCACTTAACGACATAGCGGGCCTTCCTATTACCATTACACACTGAATTTGGTTGCATAAATTAACTAATGAAGAATATGAAATCAAAGAAACATATATTATAGAATTTAATTAACCAGAAAAATAATATAAAACGGATACATTCATATTTTATTAGTTTCGCTCACCTAAGAACCTAAAAATGAGGAGCTGCAAGTTCTTCTATACAAAAAGCCCTTGTATTAATCCAATGACACATAATTAACCCTCACTTATACTCCTTGTCTTACTCAAACAATTCTTTTAATTATTCTAACCCAAAAAAGAAATTAGAAATTCATGTTCCCCATTCATCTTCTTCCCCTCTTCCCATTCCTCTCTTATTCTTTCTTCATCTTGTTCAATAAGAAGAAAAAGGTTGTTTTTTTAACCATTTTATGTTTTCATTTTCCTCTTTTTTTCATTTATGAGGAAAGATTATAACTAAAAATAAATGGCCACCGGCATGCATGAGTATGAATAGCTCGTGGTGGCTATTAGGCGTGACAAGAGGATGAATAGGTCGCGGTGACTATCTTGGCTTTATGGCCATGGCATGATCCCCTAAAGAATAGAAAATTAGATACAAATCCAAAGGTCAAGCATTCATTGGGAAAAATCCATGGGTTTATGTTGGATCAATTTAGACCTACTTTTTGGGTTTACATAAAAAAAAAAGGTTTTTTATTTATTTATCACAAATGGTTAATGAGATTTACAAAATTATCACTTTTCGTCCTTAAGGTTTTTCTGTGACACTAATAGTCGTTAAAGTTACCCTCCACTCTACACATCAAAATGATCCATGCTGTTAACTTTCGGTACATTTTCAGTTAAAATGCTGATATGGCACATTCTCTCTCTCTCTCTTCCTCTTTCTTTCTCTGTAC